ATCGTTTCGTTTCGACCTCCTAAAAGATTGGAGGCCCACCCGAGGTCTCCCTATTTTTCCAACCGGCAAAGCTCCAATCTATTCGTGGAGAGCAGAACGTGCTGGGAACTGGCCCCGACGTCGCTTATAGTTGGAATGCATTGATGATTGGTGAAAATTTGAGATTGGCCCACAAGCAAAAAAATCGTAACTGTTGTGGACCCGATCTGAGGCCAAGATCAATGGGCACAGTCCTTGATTTTTCCCCAGGAGAACTAGGGGCCTTCAAACTCTCAAGCAGTTGGGCCTTTTTCCAGGCCGCATGCATCGAGGAAAGGTTGCATCAGGCGTTTCCTCATGACTCTCCTCCACATCCAGCCTCTCCCTTCCATTTTGCACCTTCTTTGGCTCGCGGCCAGGTTCGTGCCCCTCCCCTTGCTGCTTACTACCTGCTGCACGGGCGAACGGATCTGGCACAAAACGTAGCCAGATGCAAAAAAAAAAAAAAAAAAAAAAATTGAACGGCAAAAGATAAATAAGATGGGGAAAAGAAGAAAAAAAGAATAAAAAACCCTACCTCGTTTACTAGTGGGGCTTTTGGTGCCCCACCAAACCGTTGAAATGCAGACTCAAGTTCAAATTCTGATGCAATTGGATAAATGCAGGGTGAATATCTCCATCGCAATTGCTGCCCCCTCCAGACCCTGCCAATGAGTGTCCTTCGTGGTGTGGTTGGGCATTCATGAAGTCTTGAAATGCAGACCAGAGTTCGAATCCTAACGCAGCCACCTACCCCCTCCTCTTTCGCGGCGCTGTCAGGCCTCGGGGCCTCTCAGACCGTTTCAAAAATGAGGGGAGACAAAAGAAAAAGAAAAGAGAAAACAACAAAAAAAAAGAAGGAAAAAAAAAAACACTCACCTCGTTGTCAGGCACCCACGTCATGTTGAACTACAGATACGAGTTCGAATTCTGCCCAACCAGGAGCTGAGGTGGAAGCAGTACTCACCAGATGTGCAAAATGAGAATGAATGTTCTGCTATAACATGGAAAGATATGTGGCCTTGTGGCTCCACTCTAAAACTAAGTTGAGGCCCATGAAAACGGGCGCCTGCAGGGGACTTATGTCCTAGCATCGTGTTCGGATTCGGTGACCAAACCTGAACATTCACGACCGAATGCGAACAAGCGCCAAAACGTGAACATAAAACTAAAAAAAAAAAAAACCTCAGAAAACTCTGAAAAAAATATATGTTATGTAAAACGTATGCCTGGGAGGTACGCTCAAATTCGTAACCAAACTCAAGTTAAGAATCAAAAACTTAAAAACGATTCTTATTATATGTTCGACCAAACACGCACCCGAACATATTCTGACGTTTGGAAAAGCTCTGAACATGTTCGGTGTGCTACACAGCTGTGCCTTTTTCTTCTCTGCCAACTGGCGGGTTCCTTTTTTTTTTTTTCCCCTTGTTGGCTTATGCCGACAACAACAGTCATTTTCTCCCCTTCGTCGTGACTCTGCCACTACTAAAACGCAGATCTGAGTTCGCATCCAACTGGATTCGAAATTTATTGTTATTATTATTATTATTATTATTATTATTATTATTACTATTATTATTATTATTATTATTATTATTATTATTTTATCGTTTCTCGATTTATGTGTGTCATCCTTGTGCAGCCGTCATGCTATTTCGTACCGCGCGGGTATTTTAAGCCTCGTGATCTTGTCGATCGTGCGACCGGCCGTGCCTTATTTTTTCCATTCGCGGCTGTTCCATCTAAAGAATTTAGCCCAATTGCTTTTTGGCCTCGATTCCCATACCTGCGGCACACCAGGCTGGTGCATTACCGATTGGGCTAGCTCGTACTTTTGTTGAAGTAAAGGTCGCTCTTCCATACGAAGAGTTTTGTTATAGTGACCCCGTCCATCTGCGGCCGAGCAAGCTGTACCCACCCAGGTTCTCAAAGGGCATAGTCCCCCCATCTATGACGCAAACTGATACTTTGTTAGGCGGTATCACCGACTAACCCGAGGTAAAGGGCTCCGGTGCGGGATAAAACCCTGTAACACACTTGAAAAAAAAAAAAAAAAAAAAAAAAAAAAAAANATGAGGCTTGTCGGTTTATGCTAGGGGACCTTTGTTGTAGTCATGTTTGGTAATGAGACCTGTTCGCAAGACCGATAGGCCCTTTGGGTAGGAATCATCTAGATGTGTATAAGAGACATATCACCGACTAACCCGAGGTAAAGGGCTCCGGTGCGGGATAAAACCCTGTAACACACTTGAAAAAAAAAAAAAAAAAAAAAAAAAAAAAAAAAAAAAAAAAACTGACCTATATTTTCTACACCGCGGTCGAGGATCCAACGGGGCTCTCAATTTTTAGTCGTTTAAGCCTTGAACCGTGGGGCTGTACAGCCGCACATTCCTAATTTAAGTAGAACAAGTTCAACTTTAGTACTCCAGCGACCATGGGTCCCACAGGCTTCGCCTTAGGCGAAGCACAGTTAGTCACAACATCGGTCATCACCCATTATTCCAGATGTCAACAAATGTCCGAACTTAAATGTTTTAGCCTCTCGGCCATAGGTCAAGTTCGACTAAACTTTTGACAAATAATCCAATTAAGTCATGAAGCCCGAAGTACTTTTATTGAAGCATCAGGCATATACCTTATTAGGGTTTCTGCCCCGACGGAGTTCCCGAACCTCATTGTACGACATCCCCGCCGCTCACATAAGCCGACAATAGGGATCTCTCGCATGAAGAGTTTAATACAACTAAATATTATCATTCATATAATCCTTCTTAGGATTCTTTAGAAATATTTATACAATAGTATGAACTATAACACATAACAAGTGAACAGGCATCCGAAATCAAACCGAACTCTTTTACTGGATTAAGCCTCCAGAAGCCTAAGATCCAAGGGATCTTTATCTGAAGGATCCCAACATCATCATCCCACTGACGACCAACAATTTGTCTCTCAGAATGATACCGGATGCCTCCGGCTAGTACCAAAACGACGATTATCCGGTAGGTACTCCAACATCGATCAACTTTATAGAAGTTGTGCAGACACAGTCTGAATAAATCATCCAGAGAGCAACCGTTCATGCAAAGTCGATGTCACAGTTTCAATGCACATTTCAATACTTGATATTTTCACAAAAAATCATGTTGCAAACTTAAAATCAATGTAAGTCCTTGAAGAGAACAATGATCAAGATGGGTTCCCCTGTTGCATATGAACCTTTCAAAAGACAGAGGAAAACACAGATCAAGATTATTTTTTTTGCCGCAGATGATATCATAACATTTTTAGAAGAGCATAGCGATCAAAACAAGTTTCTCTGCCACATAGTACACTTTTCTCCATTAATTAGAAGAACACGTTGATCAAGACAAGTTTCTCTGTCGCAGACGAGTTTTTCCATACATAAAGTTGAGAACAAAACTCTGATCAAGACAGGGCGTTCTGCCACAGACAAATTGCTCTTTAGAATCCTCGAAGAAAAATCTAATCAGTGATTTTCTTTCATGAAAAAGAAAAACATCGCGTTGAGCTTAGTTGCGATGAAAAAAAAAGATAGTTAATTGAAAACAAATGCGCAGGGTAGGGGTTGTTGTGATCGAGTCCACATACCTTTTAGTATTTTTTTATTAATCCAAAGAAAAACTAGTTCGGAGGCGTAAGCATTAAACATAAATAGACCACAGTATTTTTGGTACTGCTCGCCTCTCCTGCGTCGTAGACCTGGCTCAACGACGCAGGTGGGACACGGTCTTCGGTCCATTTCCCGACATTGTATAATATGCCTTTTTTTTTTAAAGAAGTGGTATTTGCAAAATAACCCCATAAGTTGAGATATATGTCAAAATGCCCCTAAAAAATGTGGGTACAGCGGAATGCCCCTCTGACAATAAAAATATTTTGTGAAATACTTTTGGCGTTGGTTGGACCCCCATCTTTGCAATGTACCCTACCTGGTACCGTGCAACTTTGCAAAATGCCCCACTACTTGTCAACTTCTCCTAGGCGTTATTGCCAAAGGCCAAGGCCTAAACGCAAGTGATGCAATGAGGCTTGTCGGTTTATGCTAGGGGACCTTTGTTGTAGTCATGTTTGGTAATGAGACCTGTTCGCAAGACCGATAGGCCCTTTGGGTAGGAATTAGGCGGGCCCTATTCCTGGGCTGTTCGTTGGTCCATTGATAGTGCCGGTGTTCTGTTTTGGTCCTGAAGCGGTTTTTTTTCGACGTTGTTGAACGGGTTTGAACCGTTGTGCTTGGTGTTGAGATGTTCTTGCTTTTTTGGATCGATGTTGTCTTAATCTGGACGAGAATTTGGATAGATGGTTTTCTTGACGGTGTGGAAAGTTTTTCTAGATAGTACCGATTGGTTTTGCGGATTTCGGCTGTACTTCAGTAGCTCTTGATAGGTATAAGTACGCAGACCGCGAGGAATTGTCGCACTTGTGACGGTGACCTAAGACCCCTTAAGAGGGCTGGTAGGCGGACCAGCCGAAACTAGTCGGGTCCACGCCGTCGAGCTTCATTTGTTAAATATTTTTCGTAATTCGTCACGTCCGGGTTAACTTTCGTGTCTGCGTATCCCTTCTTCTTCCTCTTGGTTGTCGTCTTCTTCTTTATCTATCTTTATTTCCTCCTCCTCTTCTTATTCATTATCTTCTTCTTCTTCTTCTTCTTCTTCTTCTCTTATCTTTATCTTTCTTCTTTGTCTTGGTGTTGTTATGATGATCATCGGGGCTCGTCTATTTTTATGTTCTTGTAGCTACGAGTTGACTTCGGTCTGTCTCTGCTACTTCCTTTCACGAAGTAACCACCGTAGGAATAGTACTACGTGATCGTGTGGCTTCGACGTTGTGTTTATTGCTATATCAGCATTTTGACTTTGAATCCCGATGGCGTCCTTCGCACCAAATTCTGGTTCTAATTCTAATATATCTTCCTCGTCTATCATTCGTACGTGTTATAACTGCGGTGATCCAGACCACTTTGTTCGTTGGTGCCCTCATCCTAGGCCTTCTAACCCCCAATCCGCCCTTGTGCCTTCGAATACTATTTCTCCTCCGCTTTTTACCTTGCCATCCAATTCTACGTCTGGCAGTTCTTATATGGCCAATTCTTCGGGCCAGTTGGGTAGAGGTATGGGTTGGAGTCGGACCAAGCAGAGGTTGGACGTGTTGGAGCATACTGTTGTCGAGATGAAAATCAGATACGACTCGGAGGTTGAAAGAGAGAAGAATTTGAGGGAGGAAGAGGAGAAGACGAAGAAGGAGAAGGAGGAGGAAGAGCGTCGAGCTTTGGAGAAGAAGGACCGTGAGGACTTTCGTAAGCAACTTACGGATTCAATGAACTCCAGATTGGATGGCGTCGTAGATTTGCTTAGGGGTAAGGGAAACTCCAATGAGGTGGAAGCACTCTGCAAGGATATCGAAAAATTGGAAAAGAAGCAGGTCGCGGAAGCTTCTACTAGCTTTGTTCTGGGTAGGAATTTTGATAACGATGGGGTTCTTGCACAAGTTCTCGCTGAGCAGGAGAGGATGAAGGTGCAGTTGGAGGATGCGTTGACGGCCAAGCGTCGACTAGTTGACCTGGAGAAGGAGACGAAAGAGGTAATTCAGGCACGGGACGAGGCTCGTGTTGATGTTGAGAAGTGGCAGGAGGAGGCTCTTCGTCCCGGTAAGCGGGGTTGCATCTCCTTGACTACTCCTACTACGAAGACTCTCTCTCGTCCTTTTAGGCCTTCTCCCCGAAAGTCGTCGGCTGTCTCCATTGACTTGAGAAAGATTTTTGATATGCATCATCTTGAAGTCGAGACTATTCAGGATATGCGCACGCGTGAGTTCAATGCGCGAAGGGAAGGGAAACAGGAGTTGGAAAGAGCCAGGACAAGGATTGCGCAGTTGGAGAAGGAGCGTTTGAATCTTGATAAGGCTAATCACACCACTCACACTCCACGTTCCAACCTGCATGGGCGTATGGAGGAAGCGGTTGCTGTCAAAGGGAAGGAGAAGGTGGGTGCTGATGTAACGGTCTCTTTGGAGCAAGAGAAAAGGGCTAACTTTATTAAAGATGCCAGGAAGGATTTGAGGGGCTTGACTAAGGATGCGTTGACTGCGATTTACCAGAAGGAAGGTTTGAAGTATGTTGGTATTAAACAGAGTGTTGAGGATATCATTGTGCATCGTGTTAGCATGGTTTTTCCGTCGAAGGACGATGTTGTTGAAGTTTCTGAAGATCTCGCTGGGGGAGATGGTAAGGGTGTCGGGGGAGATTCTGTCGTTTCTTAGAATCTCTCCCGGATGTGACGTGTCTTTGGAAGTTTTTTTCTCACTGTGTTAAACTTCGGTCAAACTCTCCTTCATATCTTCGTTGTAGGGTCCTCAACTCTTTCATTTTTGTGATTGTTATTGCACTCATTCTTGGTGGAGCGGTTCCCTGGGCAAGTAAGTTTATAGACAGTTTGACAGAGTGTTGGCAGTCACGAAGGGATGATCTCGATAATGGACCGCTGGTGTATCTTCTGGTTTCCCCGGTGTTTAAACATTGTTATTTTGGTTGCACTGGGAGGGGCATTCACTCTAGATGGGGGGAGCACGTGTACCGAGCCAAAATTGAGTTTCTTGTCGGTAAGGGTCTCCGCAATGAACGGTTGTATGTTTGGTTACGTCGGTGTGGGGTGGAAAACTATGTTGCCATTCCTTTGTGCTTTTGTTCTTCGGAAGACTTGGCAGGGGTTGAGAAGTTTTTTATTCGTACCTTTTCTCCTGCATTGAACTCCCGTGATCGCCCTCGTAGGTGTCGAAAGAGGAGGCCTGGGAAGCGTGAGAGACGTAGGTTGCAAACTCGGGCTTCTTCTTCGGCTTCGTCTTCTATTGCCTTGCCAATTCGATCGTGCCCATCTAACGCTAGACCGTTGACTTTTTATTCCTCAGTGGGTATCTCTTCTTTCAGTCTGATTCGTATTCTCAAATTTTGTGCGGACTCTCGGATCGATAAGGTGACAGTTACTTGTAAGGGTGGTGCGTCGTCGACCGATGGCTGGAAGGTGTTGAAACGTTCTTTTGGGTCTTCCGTTGTTTCTTGTGAATTCGGATGTGATCTTCTTCGGGTTTCAAAGGGTTGGTTGGTGGACGGTGCCATTTTGTCTTTCACTTCAAATGTGCCCTTATGTGGCAGGTTCTTATCCTTTAAACCTTCGCTTGCTGTTCTTCTCAGCAATCCGCCTTCCAGGCGATCGTTGACTACTTGGAACCTTACTTCGCTCGTTTCGGCTTTTTCGGCGGTCCGGAGTTTTTCTGATAAACGTTCTCGTTTCCGACTACGCTTGATTTTATCCAAACATATTTCTTGCAGGTTTGGGATTTCGGTGAGAAGAAGGTTGGTTGTCCGAGTCGTCTATGAGGAGGTTTTCTGCAAGGCTGAGATTCGGCGGCTGTGCGCGCACGTAATTCGAAATCTTGACATTAACGAGGCCTGGAAAGCACTTCTGATCCGACGTATGAGGGTCGTATGGAAGAAGAATCGGTCTGTTGGCGACGTTCTTCATAATTTCAGGTAGTTCTCTAGGCTTCCTTCGTTAGTGTGCACTTGCTCAGAAAGTGGTGCCTCGTTTGACAGAGTGGACGGTCATGTGTGTTTTCGCCTGAGTCTTAATTCTTCGTTTCCTCCATGGATGAGTAACTCTAAGAATATTTTGTATCTTTGTTCTGTTAATCCTGCTCGTGAACTCAAGAAACAGATCTCCTCCTCTTTTTTGTCCTTTTCTGAGCTTGATTCTGCTTCTGCATTGGCTTCGCTTACCCCCTCTTTGGTTGATCGATGCTTGACTGCTGCTCCTTCGCGTGATGACTCAGTGTGCTCTCTACCTGCTTTGGCCATACATCGTGGAAGGCTGGAGGGTTTGGTCTGCTGTGCTGTCGACCACAATCCCGAGGACACTTTGGTCTGTTGCCAAATTGTGTACGGTCAAGGATTGAAAGGGTTGTTTACCGATAATCCCTCTTTTCTGCACGAGTCCCGTTCGGAAGTGGATGTATTTGAAGGTCGTCAGTCCTCCTTATTTGCTGAGGGATTCGACAAGATTGGTAAATGGAACAAGGATGGCAGCTTTGGAAATGTTTTTTGTATGCCCAAGCACAAGGATGTTAGAAGATGGCGTCCCATCTGTCCTTCCTTTTCTGAAGGCGCTGCGTTGGGTGGTAAGCGCGTTGCTTATGCGATTAATCAGTTGTTGTGGAATCTTCCTGAGTCTCTTTATTTTAATCGTCGGCACGCTTCTGATCTCATGGGTGGGTTGCAATCTCTTAATAACAGGATCAGAGGAAACAATCGGCTGTTGGGTGCTTCGTTCGACGTTAAAGAAATGTTTTCTAATTTGCCACATCAGTCGAATTTGAGGGCTCTGCGATGGGTGGTGGATCACTGGACGTCTGAGGGATACAAGGGTGTCGCAGTTAGGAAACACGGGAAGGTGGCCCGACTGGTGAAGGGACGAGCTGAGGATGGATGAATTCTTATTAAATTCGAGGCTATCTATCGTTTTGTGTTGTACGATGTGAACAATACGTTCGTCTGGTGTTCTGATACCTTACTGAGACAGATTATTGGCATCCCTATGGGAAAGTCCACCAGTTCGGCACTGGCTTGTTTATTGTGTGCTTCCAACGAGTTTTGCTTTCTGTCTTCCTTGGGCACCGACCGGCGTTTGGTTGTTGGTTTCCGGATTGTCGATGACATCTCTCTTTTTGTCCGTTATTCTGAATCGTCGGCTGTTTCCTTTTCCAAGGCGCAGGATTTAGTTGACCGTTTTCGTTTGTGTTATGACTCGAACTTGACTTTGGAGCAGACCAATGAGGGGCCCGACTGGGATTTTATTGGTTGTGCGATTAAGGTTTTTGATGATCCCTGTCGTGTTTGTTGAGTGGCCACGCACAAAAATCAAAGGGTGATTTCGGATCAGGGTTTAGTTTTCCATAGCCTGTAGGAATTCGTTTCTTTTTCAAGTCGTCAGCAGAAATTGGCGGTTATTATGTCTTTCTTGCATCGCGTGCGGGTTTTCAATAATGTTCCGGGATTGGAACTGACCTTTCTGCTGACATTAAAGTATGAGCTGTGGTTGAGGGGCTATCCGGATCAGTATTTTGATTTTGCTCTTGAAAGGTTTTCCCGCAAGTTTTCGGGTTGTTGGGATCACTGGTTGTGCATTCTTACCAAGTGGGGTCGTCTGCTGCCCTCTCGCTAGATAGTCACAAGTGTTTTTGACCCTGAGGTGGCCCGTCGTTAGGGCTGGCTGTTTGTTTTCTTGGACCTAAGTGATGGAATGAGGCTTGTCGGTTTATGCTAGGGGACCTTTGTTGTAGTCATGTTTGGTAATGAGACCTGTTCGCAAGACCGATAGGCCCTTTGGGTAGGAATTAGGCGGTCCCTATTCCTGGGCTGTTCGTTGGTCCATTGATAGTGCCGGTGTTCTGTTTTGGTCCTGAAGCGGGTTTTTTCCGACGTTGTTGAACGGGTTTGAACCGTTGTGCTTGGTGTTGAGATGTTCTTGCTTTTTTGGATCGATATTGTCTTAATCTGGACGAGAATTTGGATAGATGGTTTTCTTGACGGTGCGTGGAAAGTTTTTCTAGATAGTACCGATTGGTTTTGCGGCTTTCGGCTGTACTTCAGTAGCTCTCGATAGGTATAAGTACGCAGACCGCAAGGAACCGTCGCACTTGTGACAGTGACCTAAGACCCCTGAAGAGGGCTGGTAGGTGGACCAGCCGAAACTAGTCGGGTCCACGCCGCCGAGCTTCATTTGTTAAATATTTTTCATAATTCGTCACGTCCGGGTTAACTTTTGTGTTTGCGTATCCCTTCTTCTTCCTCTTGGTTGTCGTCTTCTTCTTTATCTATCTTTCTTTTCTCCTCCTCTTCTTATTCGTTGTCTTCTTCTTCTTTTTCTTCTTCTTCTTCTTCTTCTTCTTCTTCTTCTTCTTCTTCTTCTTCTTCTTTTATCTTTATCTTTCTTCTTTGTCTTGGTGTTGTTATGATGATCATCGGGGTTTGTCTCTTTTGATGTTCTTGTAGCTACGAGTTGACTTCGGTCTGTCTCTGCTACAACAAGGCCTAAACGGGGAGGTCCAAATTGCAAAGTTGCACACCTGCCTAATAAAGGCACAACACAAAGATTTCGGCCCACAAGGGCATTCCGCTCTACCCACATCTTTCAGGGGCATTTTGGCATATATTTCAACTTATGAGGGTATTTTGCAAATCATCCCAAAAAAGAAAAAAGAAAAGAAGTACTGAGAAGGACAGCACCATCATAGCTGTATCTGGTCTGCAATTGGCCCTCAGAAGTGCCCCAAACATCACAGCCATACATAACGGCATGGTGTTAGGCGTCGCCGCATTCACGAAACAAAAACCAAAACGAGTGCATATCTTCCCACCGAAAATGGACAGGTTCGCTGGCTCCAACCAGCCGCCTCTAGCTCCAACCAGCTGCCGCTACCGGTAGGCCGGTCGGCTGGTCCTCAGGCCGTTGGTGTTAGGCCTGTACATAGCTTTTCTCTATACTTCCTCCCTTCTATAGAACTCTCCTGGTCTCTGCTCCCTCTCCCACCACCCCTTCCCCCTTCACCTTCCCCCTTCACCCTCTATCCCCTCCATCCCCTCCCCCTCTCCCTCCCCCCCCTCCTCTTCATCACCTTCAACCACTTTCACCTGCAACCTATTCTCTCTCTCTTTTTTTTTTAGCCCAGGGTGTTGTAGAGGCCAAGGACCAGACCTGCCGTGATTGCTGGTAGCTGCAGCCAATGGTTGTCCTGACAGTATAGGCCACCTACCCTACCCATCCCCACGTTAATACTCCCAATGCACCCCCTGTCCCTACTATCCTACCTCTCATTTCTAACTTCGTAGCATTTACAGTAGAATAAAGTTCCTGTCTTTCTGCCTAGGATACGCTGAGTTATTATGCAGACTTGTTGACTGAGTTGAAGTGATCGGGGTCCTTTGGTGCCATCAAAAGCTAAAACTGGCTAACGCTGCCAGGAGTTTCTTCTCCGGGTTGAATTGTGGGTCCCTCGCCCTCGCACTCGCACTTGCTTCCCTTTTTCGTAATAAACCGAGCAACTTCCGAAAAAAAAAAATTGGACAGCTTCAACCGTTTGCTTGAAGGGGCTCGTCGCATTACTCAGCCATCCACATGCAATCAAAATTTTGGCGGATGCGAGTTGTGCAACTAGGGCCTAAGTACTAACGAATGTATTGTGCTAACCAACATTTGATTTTGCTAGGGTTCGCTGCCTGACGTCCCCTGGCCAAGACCTTACTCACAATCACAACGGGATAACGGCGACTGATGGCATACTGAGGAATATCCCCAACGTATCTGGAGCTTATTACAGGTCCAGCGTGTGCGTGGTGCCGTCCGTACAGCCGCCGTACGTGCGGCAGACACGATCATAATGTCCCGGCACGAGCACCACTTGAAGTGACAACTGGCAGGCCCACGCTCAACTCACGTGGGCACATGTACGTGGCACGCACGTGGCTCGAGCGATGGACGACGGAGCAAGCAGGCGGGTAGGCGGAAGTGCGCCCACACGACCATATCGTGCGAATGGCTGTGATGGAGGGTGTATCTATGCGTCTTCGCTATTCCGTGTCCCGCTACCTCCCCTCCCCTCCCCGCCCCGCCCCCCTGCATCCCCCTACCCCGAGTTCCCCATTCTTTCCTCTCGCGTGTCACTCTGGTTTTCTTGCCGGAAAGGGGGATATATAACAAGAGGGATAAGGAGAAGTGTAGGAAAATCGCGGAGGACAGGGAAAGAGAGAGAAGAAGAAAAGAGGAGTTGCAGAAGCCAGACGGAGATGGAATAACGACATAGGGAAGCGGTTTGAGGCGACCTGTCTAATTCTTAGCGCCTTCCCTGCCATCCTCGCTATCCTGCTACACCCGGCTAACGAGCTTTTGTGTGTGTGTGTGTGTGTGTGTGTGTGTGTGTGTGTGTGTGTGTGAGAGAGAGAGAGAGAGAGAGAGAGAGAGAGAGAGAGAG